TCCAGATGTTCCTCTGCTTCATACCAGCAGCTCCACATCTGGAAACATCTGGAACCTGGAGAAGGAGGTTCTGGACCTGGAGGATCTCACCTGAGGTCCAGAACCTGCCTTTCTCCTCAGGTCCAGTTCCTGCTGGTTCTGGTCGGACTCAATCCTTTCAAAGCAGACATCCTGCTCCAGAGGTCCAGACCCGGTTCTGAACCCATGAGGTGTTTCATGCTGTAGGAGTTTGGATTGTCCAGAGGTTCTGGTCCGACCCGCTCACAGCCTCTTTTCTCTTCCAGACCACGGGCCTGGTGGGTCTGGCCGTGTCGCAGAACCCTCATGAGGTGAGCAGAACCCGCAGAGTTCTCCTTGTTGTCCTCCAGAGGTTCTGGCTGAATGTTCTCCTGTGTCCCGCAGCGTCTGAGGATCCTCTACTCCAAGATCCTGGCGTCGCTGCAGAGCATGCCACAGGACGCCGCCTACAGGAAGTACACGGAGCAGCTGGTGACGCAGCGCTTTGACCACGTGAAAACGGTCCGTATGAACAGAACCGGCGGGTCCAGATGGGAGGGCGGCGCCGCTCACTGACTGTCTCTGTTTCCAGGAACCAGACGTGGAGAAGCTGGAGAAGAAGATCAACGGGGGGCAGATCGAAGAGGTCATCTTCCAGGTGGGAAACGGACCCAGCAGAACCTGGAGCGGTTCTGGTTGACATCCAGATTATACGGGCCTGGTACCGAGCACAGGGCCTTAGTGGACTCCATCAGAACCGTTCTGGAGGCTCGGAACAGGACCGGACTTAATCTAACATTTATCGGATCAGAACCGTGATGCTGTTCAAAAAGCTTTACGCTCCGTCACGTTGTTGCTTAGATACGGAACCAAGCTAACGGTGCTCCTCATCTTCAGGGATGAAGGCCCAACATGACCAGAACTCTGAGGTCCAGAATCCGTTTCACCAAAATTTACTGAAAAACTGAATTTCAGGTATAAAATCTGAAGTTAAGTTTTCCCAAAGAGAGTTTGCTCATACTCTGTTTCTGTTGCCATGGTAACATCCTCCCAGAGCTAACCTGGTCAGCTGCAGGTTTCCACGCTGCTTCATTTCCTGATTTAGTCTGATGTTTGTCCTGGTTTCGTCCATAAAAAAAGAAAAAATCCACTAGGTCTGTTAGACACATTAGATTTAAAAACAAACACTGCAAGCCGTCTGATGAGGATCTTATTAAAGAATGATCAGCATTAATTCACAGAGAATGAAATATTTATAGGGAGAGGATTCTACAACTCAGTAACAGTAGAGATTACTGGGTTTTGGTTTGTTTAATAAATAAAAATGTATTAAACAAACCAAATCTAAATAAAAATGTTATTTCTATTTAGTTATATTTACAGTACATGAAGAAATACTGAGATTATTTTCAATTTACACATAAATAGATTAATTCCACGAGGGACAAAATTATTTACTTTAGGATTCCTTTAATGATAACAGCCTGCTGAGCCTACTGGAACAATCTGAAGCCATTCTAGGGGACTAATAGCCGCTAATAACGACCATTTATTGGGATGATGACATCTGAAGCGCAGCAGCAAACAGACACTAATTATTTACTGTGTAAAAGAGACTGAATCAACATGAGGAGGAACCCATGAGATGATGAACAGGTTCCATAGATTAGAACAATGTTTTTATTCTTCATCCTCACATGCTGACAGATTTCACCTAAATAGATACATTGATCTATTACCATTTAAGAAATAAACCCGTAATATTATCGCAGTAACAGCAGCCTATGGCAAGCTGTTTGATATTTATTAGTTCTACTGATTTGTATTCCTGATATCTGAAAGAAATATATATTTTCTTGACATTCTTCACATCTAGAATAAACATTCTGGATGTCTAGAATTTAATTTCAGATCTCTGTAGTTCTAATTTTACTGGTCAGCATTTAATAAAAATATTTTCAGTCAAGCTGATAAATGTCAGAACGGCCACTTAAAATATGGAAACATTTCTAGATAAATAAAACTTCATTCTTACTGATATAATTTGGGTTTTTTCCACTTTCTAAAATTCAGGTTCTCCATGAATGGAGCTCAGAT